ATAACCTCATATTATAACACTTCACCATTAGCTACACCCAGTCTTTGCAAAAAAAAACAGATACAAACACAAATAATAAATTCCACAGAGTACATAGAAATACTGTAGAATACTTTATTTTCACAATTTTCGCTGAAGGGATGATTCCGTGAAAATAAAATCCAGCGAATATACTTTTTTTCCTATATTTCACATTCAACTCATCAAAAATCAGTGAAAATAAATTCCATAAAGAACGCCCAAAAAGCCTTTTCAGCAAAAATTAATTCCAGTAAAAATAAAGTATTCTCCCAGAATAGTAGAGGATTGATTTTGTATGTATGTAATGTATATGACTTAGAATTACCCCCCATATTTCCAAACATTTTTTGCACAATTTCTATATTCTGAGCAGTCATAACTTGGACAATATTTTGATCATAGTTTTACATTTTTCAAACAATAAACTTATTTTCAAATTTGAATCATTAAAGTTACAATGTAATTACTATAGAATATTTTGCAAAGAAAACTGAATAGTAAATTTATGGTGAAAAAATATTCCTGCATCTGCATCTGATTGTTATTATCACAATTGATACAAACAATTAGCGAGAGTTCCCTAGGCAACACAATTACTAAATTATCAGAGCACCAACAATAGATGAAAGTAAACCAGTTCACATGTCGACTGTGGAAAAAATCTAATTTTGTATTTTGTTTCTATTTTTTTAGGAGTTTATAGTCTGCTAATCTTTTTTTAGTTTTCAGTATGTATATATATTTTGTTTCATATTTTGAGGTTTCCTATTCTCATCTTTGAAAAATTACTAGAATGTGCTAGAAATTTTGCCAGCTGTGCAACGTGATTTCTAAGAACATTTCTTGGTAAATTCAGATATAACTACGAAAAACTATCACATGGGGTAAAACTGCTCAACTAGGAGTGCCATAAATAATTTAGATTTTCATAGTAGAGTTGCCAGGGTGATAAGTTGGCAAAATACAGTGCATCTTTACACTGGCATACTTATGCTATTGTACATATCATACCTTGAACTCTGCCACATCAATGTCAGCAAAGGATTTAGCAACAGCCATCCCAGCACAGTTTATTAACATACCACAAGGGCCTCCATCATCTATTGCCTAAAAATAGAGGAATATAAGAAACAAGTCATTGTCAATGACACGTCCCCGTTCCGTTCATATTTGAGTGACATATACATTCAAAACAGATCATGACCGAAATGCACCTGCATATGTACAACACATTGTACTAAATCTGAACAAAATCCATCCATGCATGACTGAGATCCGGTTCCGGAATTGTGAAAATACGTGATTTTGATGCATTTTCAGCCTTAAAATGGCCATCATTCAGCTATTGTTAAGCGGATCATGAAACAAATGCACATATCTATTTGTGACATGATGTATCATGTGTGTGTGAAGTTTGAACTTGATCAATCCAGACATGTCTTGGATATGGATCCAGAACTGAATTCTTTAACAAAATGGCCGCCAGTCGGCCATTTCGAACTTGATCCGAAAACAAAAAGACGTGCATCAAGGTCCTATTATGTTTTATGTATGTACTAAATT